GAATCGCACTATATAAACCCCGTTTTGTTTTCGTCCTCGTAGTCGCGCATCTCAGAGACCGTAGCAGCTGGGAGTTTCAGCCTCCTGCATCGGGGTAATGCTTCACTCCATTCTGTATTTTCAGTATGATTCCCGTGTTTGTTTGTACTGTGATATGCTAATTAAAACTGGAACCGGCTTCTTCGTCGTGGATCGGTTCGCTTAATCTTTCTTTTCCGTCTCTCTTCTTTTTCTGATGTTCTTTTGTCCGTTCATTCTTCGCGATACCCTTGTTTGATCATACGCATCAATGTATATACTTTTGTGCTTTTCTATTATTTTTTCCTACATATGCTTGTATTTTTTTTTCTATGTGCTTGTATATAATTTCGATTACTCAGTTGTAGTTTTTTTATCTCTCCCATTTTTGTCTCGCTTTTGATTTTTCTTCTTTCTGCGTCTTTGGCGGTACATTCTGAAATCAGTTATAATCTGTGCTGGAATTTCCTTCTGATGGTAAAACTTTCTAATGAAAAGGACTGGATGGATGAGGGGGAGTTGATTATCTAAATATTTTTCACCATATTAACATGTATAAGTTGATAAATAATTGCTATTAAGAGATATTTATTTCTTGAAACTCAAATAATCATATCTCATGCTTTTGGTTGCCCAGTTTTGTATGTTTAATTTATTTTGTTAATTTTACCTTTGAAGGACGTTCGGCGAGAAGACTCTTTGAGGTCGAGCCAGCACCAGCAAAATGGTTAGTGTTCATGTCTTATAAGCCTGTCATGTAACTGTTATGTAGATCTGCTGGTTGTATTTGGTTCTTACTTTTTTTGTATCATAGTGAATACCACTCATTAATTTCATCTGTGTTTTGGTTAAAGTAATGTTTAATGGGTTGTTGGTGCGGGACACATGATTGTTTAGAAGCTTGTTTTTTTATGAGATTTGATGAGGTATATAGTATTTGTTATTAGAACTTTAAGACTTCAATGTGAAAAAATAAACTATTAAAATCCATTTTGTTTACAAATGAATTAAGCTTGTGCTCACTTGCTAGAGAATGTGGGTGATTGAAATAAATTGTAACTTCAAAACATTTTATGAACTTTTCTTGACTCACTCAAATTAGAGAAACAGAAACAAGAGTGAAAGATAAATTTTCAGCATTTTTCAACTATGATGTTCATTTATAAATTCTATCTGAGGGTGTCATAAACTTGAAAAATGTATAATTGCAAATAATTTCCACTTCTTTTTTATGGCTTTTTTTTAGTTTAAAATAACTTTTGTTTTAAACTATTATTTGCTGTTCCCTAGATGTTTTTCCTTTATCTGTTTGTAATTTTCTTGTCCTAAACACTCATGCAAATGTTTTTTGGATGTCAAATCTGGTTTGCTTCTTTGATCTTATTTTAGTTCTTGTTTTCCCCATTTAATCTTTGGTTTTCAAGGTATAATGTCTTCGTGCTTTGAGTTTTTTTTTTATTTTAAATATCACTGATGTTTTATCATGTGCTTTTAAGAATTTGATGATTTTTGTAGTGACAAATGCAGCCGGTATGTTGTTTTGGGAACTGGTTACTTGTAAACCTTTATGAGATTATTGTATGAATATAAAAACTCAAGTTTTAAGGCTTAGGATAATACATTAATAGTACATATGTATGTTTTTTAAGTCTAAATTTTCTTTCCTTTTTCTGTTGCAAAGATTTTTTTTTTCCTTTCATATTTGTTTGCAATATTTTAGGGGGTTTCACCTCTTCTTCTCTGGTGTTACTACAGGCGAGGGGGTTGAAGAAACATTTGAAGAGGCTCAATGCCCCAAAGCATTGGATGCTTGACAAGCTAGGTGGTGCATTTGTAAGTCAGCTAATTTCAGCTGCATTTTTTTAACTTTTCAGTTTGTATCGTTATTTGGTTTTATTTTATGGTTCAATAAACCTTTATAAAACACCTTTCAGGCACCCAAGCCATCATCTGGTCCGCACAAATCCAGAGAATGCTTACCCTTGATTCTGATCCTGAGGAACAGGCTCAAATATGCACTGACTTACCGTGAAGTCATTGCTATCCTGATGCAACGACATGTGCTTGTTGATGGAAAAGTTAGGACTGATAAGACATACCCTGCCGGTTTCATGGGTAGGTGCTAAAAAGTTTGTCCTTATTCTTATTCTACTTTGAATTGTTGTATTCCAAAATGAGCTTGATGTATTACTTGTGAAATAGTTAGCAAAACCATAAAGCCCATCCCAAATGATTGAAACCTTAACTATGCTTAAAGAATTCATTAAACCATGGAGACAGGTTACTAGTATTTTTCATGGGTGCAAAGATGTGATTCTCTCTATTCTCTGCTTTCTCTCCTATCTAGGCTATTTTGCAATACTTAATACATATAATAGATCCTTATGCTTTCTGGTATTAGATGTTGTGTCAATCCCCAAGACAAATGAGAACTTCCGTCTCTTATATGATACCAAGGGCCGCTTCTGCCTCCACACTGTCAGGGACGAGGAAGCCAAGGTTTGTTTGTTGCTGCCTGATTTATTGGATTATTGTTATGCTATAACATTACTTCTTAAAGAGTTTTAAGTGCATGTTTTAATTTTGTGGAAGTTTACATTCTTTGCAGTTTAAGCTTTGCAAGGTTCGATCTGTCCAATTTGGCCAGAAGGGTATCCCATACCTGAACACATATGATGGCCGCACCATTCGCTACCCAGACCCTCTTATCAAGGCCAATGATACCATTAAACTTGACCTGGAGACTAACAAGATTGTTGACTTCATTAAGTTTGATGTTGGGAATGTTGTGATGGTGACTGGGGGAAGGAACAGAGGGCGTGTCGGAGTCATCAAGAACAGAGAGAAACATAAGGGTAGCTTTGAGACCATCCATGTTCAAGATGCAGTTGGTCATGAGTTTGCAACCCGTATGGGCAATGTGTTCACTATTGGTAAAGGCTCAAAACCATGGGTGTCCCTTCCCAAGGGCAAGGGCATCAAGTTATCAATCATTGAGGAGTCTAGGAAGAGGCTTGCTGCTCAACAGGCTGCATGATCTAGTGATAAATTTTGAGTTATTTTTCTTTCAATGTTCTGAGTTGTAACTGTTGGATGGATGCAGTAGGATTCTTCGGATTCAAGGTGGAATTAGTTTATCACATAATATGACTTTTTACATCACTTTTTGTATTACTAGCACAATTTGGACTAGCTTTCATCATTGCAATTTTCTAGTTCAATCTTTTGAATGATTTTTTTTTTTTCAGAAATTATGTTTGATTAGTGAAAAACAATTAAACAGATTTAAATTGCCCCCATACGATGATCTTTTAACTGATAAGTTGTGAAGCAGAACAAAATTAGATTATGTGCTATTACAGTTTCTATCTGAGGATCTTTTAACAGATATATTTACAAACTCAGATAAACTGTGAATAACAGGAGCTTGTTGGCTCCCTGGAGTTCAAAAGCTTTAACACTTGCGTAGCCATTGGCACAATTATACTTTCCGGTGCCGCCAATAACAGCCACATGAGACTCAGCTTCTTGAGCCCTATACACCCCGAAAAGTCTCAATCCATCCGGGAACTCTCCTGGGCCCAAAAATGCTGTAACTGCCATCATATAGCCAGTTCCATTCCCTGGACTAGCAACATACACCCCGTGTGCTTTGCCGAACAGTTTTTTCCCCCCATTTGTTGAGATTTTGAACAAGTCCTCATCAATACTTGTAAATGTTCCCAATTCCAACTCCTCAAGAGTAGCTCTAGCTGGAAAGTTGAGGCCAATGTCCGAGATATCAACTGCTTGGGATGATTCTCCAATGGTTGAACTCGTGGGGAGTGATTCTGGTATAGGAATTCCTCCTTTTGGAGGGAAGAAACCTAATGGTTTTAGAAATGGCAGGTGATGGCCTGCGACTTTAGTAGTTACAGATTTGGATGAGGGTTCTGACACATTGAACACATTTTGCATGATGAAAGTGATTTTGCGATGGCGATAGTGATGATTGTTAAGAATTCGTAACGAGAATGATTGATCAACAATGACAAATAGGAAAAGTACGACGATTGGAGGGAGTTTTGCCATGATCATATCGTCAACTTGGTTTGGCTTCAGTGTTATTGTTGGTTTATAAATAATAAATATGATAGAAGAATGTGATTATGGCAGTGTAGTGGATCTAAATTGGAGTGGTTGAATATGGTGTTTAGTGGTTGCACCCAATTAGCTTCGGTTTTTCTGCCTTGAATTGTTTTACCCCTAAATTGTGGATTTGGGCTGATTATACACACTAGTCCTCATGGGCCATGTCATTAGTGCATAATTGTAAGATTGTTATTAAAATTTAGAGATTTTTGGTTAAGAAAAAGTATTTGTCATGGATGCAAATTTTAAAAATATATATGTATAATTTCAATTTTTAAAAATAAAAAATAAAAAATTGGTCTAGTTGCATTTTAAATATTTTTGATTTACTTGTTAATAGTTTACTACCAATAAATTTTTTGCTATCATGAATAATATTATTAAATAAAACAATTAAATTAAATTATGAATTAATTTAAATTGCATTTCAAATTTTTGGGTGTATATTTTTTCTTGAAGAGAATTACTTGAAAAAAATTTAATTGAATTATGAATGGTGAAGTTATATACTTATAAAATAAGATTAATTTTGAAAAAGTGATCTGTGCCGTCGATTCCAGCAATGGCTGAATTGGGCCAATAAATCTCTAGGCCTAGGGTTTATAGCAGGTTATACCTCTTCCCGTCATTTCGTTTCCAATACCCGAAATCAGGAACTCAAGAAAACCCCATCACCATGGAATTTAACTAAAACCCTGAATCCGTCCCCTAAACCCCAAATCCACTACTTCTCTCCTCTTTATCTAATTGTAGCGCTTGTTTCAGCTCTATCTGCAGGTCAAGCTCGCCATATTGTCACCCATGTATCTATACAATCTCACCCTGCAGCAGGCTACCGGCATTCTCTGTGCCATAAATGGGAACTTCTCCGGCGGCAAGACGCAGGAGATTGTCGTTGCTCGTGGTAAGGTCCTAGATCTCCTCCGACCTGACGAGAACGGTAAGATCCAAACTTTACTCTCTGTCGAAGTGTTTGGTGCCATTAGATCCCTAGCTCAGTTTCGCTTAACCGGGTCCCAAAAAGATTACATCGTTGTCGGTTCCGATTCCGGTCGAATCGTAATACTAGAGTACAACAAGGAGAAAAACGTATTCGACAAGGTACACCAAGAAACTTTTGGGAAGTCTGGCTGTCGCCGGATTGTTCCGGGTCAGTACCTGGCTATTGACCCGAAAGGGAGAGCTGTTATGATAGGTGCCTGTGAGAAACAGAAACTTGTGTATGTTTTGAATAGGGATACTGCTGCAAGATTAACGATTTCGTCTCCGCTAGAGGCGCACAAATCGCACACGATATGTTATTCCATTTGCGGGGTGGATTGCGGTTTTGAGAACCCGATTTTTGCTGCCATTGAGCTTGATTACTCGGAGGCAGATCAGGATTCCACCGGACAAGCAGCTAGTGAAGCCCAGAAGCAATTGACTTTTTACGAGCTAGATTTAGGGCTTAACCATGTGTCTAGGAAATGGTCTGAACAGGTTGATAATGGTGCCAACTTGCTTGTTACTGTTCCGGGAGGAGGGGATGGGCCAAGTGGAGTACTGGTGTGTGCTGAGAATTTTGTAATTTATAAAAATTCTAAAGGTCCAGATTTCCGAGCAGTGATTCCTAGGCGGGCAGATTTGCCTGCTGAACGGGGGGTTCTAATAGTGTCAGCTGCAATGCATAAGCAGAAGTCCATGTTCTTCTTTCTTTTGCAAACTGAATATGGAGACATTTTTAAGGTTACTTTGGAACATGACGGGGATAGCGTTTCGGAGTTGAAGATTAAATATTTTGATACTATTCCGGTTACAGCTTCCATGTGTGTGTTGAAGTCTGGATTTTTGTTTGCTGCATCGGAGTTTGGAAATCATGCTTTGTATCAGTTTCAGGCAATAGGGGAGGAGCCTGACGTGGAGTCATCTTCAGCCACTTTGATGGAAACTGATGAAGGTTTCCAGCCTGTGTTTTTCCAGCCTAGAGGACTCAAAAACCTTGTTAGGATTGACCAGGTTGAGAGCCTGATGCCAATAATGGACATGAAAGTAATAAATCTCTTTGAGGAAGAAACACCTCAGATATTTTCACTTTGTGGACGAGGTCCTCGTTCCTCTTTAAGGATATTAAGGCCTGGGTTGGCCATCAGTGAGATGGCTGTGTCACAGCTTCCTGGTCTCCCAAGTGCAGTTTGGACTGTGAAAAAGAATGTCAATGATGAGTTTGATGCATATATTGTGGTCTCTTTTACCAATGCCACCCTTGTGCTTTCAATTGGTGAAACGGTTGAAGAAGTCAGCGATAGTGGGTTTCTTGATACTACTCCCTCCCTTGCTGTTTCTTTAATAGGTGATGATTCTCTAATGCAAGTCCACCCTAATGGTATTCGGCATATTAGGGAAGATGGGCGTATTAATGAGTGGAGAACCCCTGGAAAGAGGTCGATTGTTAAGGTTGGTTCAAACAGACTCCAAGTAGTTATTGCCCTTACAGGAGGGGAACTTATATATTTTGAGGTGGATATGACTGGTCAGCTGATGGAGGTGGAGAAACATGAAATGTCTGGAGATGTGGCTTGCTTGGACATTGCTCCAGTCCCTGAAGGAAGACAGAGGTCACGCTTCCTTGCAGTTGGTTCTTATGACAACACCATTCGTATCTTATCTTTGGATCCTGATGACTGTATGCAGATTCTCAGTGTTCAAAGTGTATCTTCGCCTCCAGAATCCCTCCTCTTTCTTGAAGTCCAGGCTTCAGTAGGTGGAGAAGATGGTGCTGATCACCCTGCTAGTCTTTTCCTTAATGCTGGTTTACAGACTGGGGTTCTATTTAGGACAGTTGTGGATATGGTGACTGGTCAACTTTCTGATTCCCGTTCCCGGTTTTTAGGGCTGAGGCCTCCGAAGTTATTCTCGGTCATTGTGAGAGGACGACGTGCAATGCTTTGCTTGTCCAGTCGACCCTGGCTTGGTTATATTCACCAGGGACATTTCCAGTTAACACCTCTTTCTTATGAGACTCTTGAATTTGCTGCTTCATTTTCATCCGATCAATGTGCTGAAGGTGTTGTTGCTGTGGCTGGGGATGCATTGAGGATTTTCACAATTGAGCGTCTTGGGGAAACATTTAACGAAACTGTGATTCCTTTAAGGTACACGCCAAGAAAGTTTGTTCTCCACCCCAAGTGGAAGTTGTTAGTGATTATTGAGAGTGACCAAGGAGCATTCAATGCAGAAGAACGTGAAGCTGCAAGAAAGGAATTCTTTGAAGCTGCTGGAATGGGAGAAAATGGCAATGCTAATGCTGAACAAATGGAGAATGGTGATGATGAAGACAAAGATGATCCCCTCTCGGATGAGCAGTATGGTTATCCAAAGGCAGAATCAGACAAGTGGGTTTCTTGTATCCGAGTCCTTGATCCAAGGAAAGCTACTACAACTTGTCTCCTAGAACTTCAGGACAATGAAGCTGCATTCAGTGTTTGTACTGTTAATTTCCATGATAAGGAGTATGGAACTCTTTTAGCAGTTGGTACAGCCAAGGGACTGCAGTTTTGGCCCAAAAGAAGTTTAGTAGCGGGGTTTATTCATATTTATAGGTTTCTGGAAGATGGGAAATCTCTTGAACTTCTGCACAAGACACAAGTGGAAGGTGTACCTCTTGCTTTATCCCAATTTCAGGGAAGATTGCTAGCTGGAATAGGTCCTGTACTTAGGTTATACGACTTGGGGAAAAGGAGGTTGCTCAGAAAATGTGAAAATAAGCTGTTCCCTAACAAAATTGTCTCGATTCATACTTATCGTGACCGAATTTATGTTGGTGATATTCAGGAGGTATGTATTTTAACTAATGGCTCTAAGATGATTCACTATTCGGATTATCTTCACAACTGTGAGGAAGATGCTATAATATCGTCAAAAAGTTCGTGATAATGGATAATTACATTAACAAATGAACTCATACAGTATTCCAAATGGGTAAAATAAAAGTCCAAATAATGAACCATTCAAATAATAAGAAGTTAATTGTGCAACCACTCCTCTGTATGACATTAGCTGGGAAAATGTTTTGTTTGGAAGAAGTTTCAAATAGAATGTGTTATTTATTGTTTATATGCTAGCAATAGAGATAGATATATGGTTCCCTAAGGTGCGGAGTTGTTTTTTGTATTAACTTGTATTATTCTCTTCTTGGCAGTCATTCCATTTCTGCAAGTATAGACGAGACGAAAATCAACTGTACATATTTGCAGATGATTGTGTCCCAAGATGGCTTACTGCATCATATCACATAGATTTTGATACGATGGCGGGTGCGGACAAATTTGGGAATTTCTATTTTGTTCGGTTGCCACAGGATGTGTCAGATGAGATTGAGGAAGATCCAACTGGTGGGAAGATTAAGTGGGAGCAAGGGAAGCTCAATGGAGCACCTAACAAGGTAGAAGAGATAGTGCAGTTTCATGTTGGTGATGTGGTTACTTGTTTGCAGAAGGCATCTTTGATCCCAGGTGGGTCAGAATGCATCATTTATGGAACTGTCATGGGGAGCTTGGGGGCATTGCATGCATTCACCTCACGTGATGATGTTGACTTCTTTTCGCATTTGGAGATGCATATGAGGCAGGAACACCCACCTTTATGTGGAAGAGATCACATGGCTTATAGATCTGCGTACTTTCCTGTCAAGGTATTTCATATGTCTCCAGTTCATTAATAAATGTATCCTTGACTGCTGAAATGATTCTTTACTTTGAGGCAACCTAGGATAGCAAATTTATTCGGCCTACTGGAGGCCCACAAATCCAATCCCATCGGAGTGGGTTCTTTTTGTTTTTGCTTGGTGGGTCCAGCACTTGTTAAAAAAATTAAACACCTATGGCAGATGGGGCCAGTTGTAGTAACTGTGGATGCGAATAAGAAACTAATGTTGTGAGCTTTCATTTGATTTCTCCTGACTCTAGCTTTCATTCTTTCATGAATTTTTCGGTTCTTATACTCATTAATCATTATGGACAACTTTGATAGCTTTTCTGAACTCTGCAATATTTATGCAGGATGTGATAGATGGCGATCTATGTGAGCAGTTCCCAACACTTCCTCTGGACTTGCAAAGAAAAATTGCTGACGAGTTGGATAGAACACCCGGAGAGATATTGAAGAAACTTGAAGAAGTTCGAAATAAGATAATTTGAGAAAGCATGTCTCATAGTGCCTTCTTTCTCTCTCTCTGTTATTGCACTTTTATGTTTATATTTTGGAGAAATTAATCTGCCTATTTGCATCCCTAGACTATGGTCTACCTATTGACCCTACGCGTCTCCATTAGACTGTGTTTTATGCCATCCAAAATTTCAGATTCTGCTGGTTGGAACCTCTAACTCAACAATATGCTCAAAGTTGTGCTCTGGAAAGGTTCTAATTTGTAGGATATGTTCAATAGTTCACAATTCTCTACTCTGATTTTTACTAATATCTGTAACTTTCCTTCCACAATCTTGTAATGAAGTTTAGTTCAGCTTGATGATATCAGTTACTGTGATAGTCAACATGTTTCTCTTTTTAATATTGATTTATTAATGCTTGATTCAGTTTTTGATGTTGTTAGATGCAAATGTTATTTACCAGATAATCGAATATTATGCAGGATGTTGTGCTGAGGTTATCGGCATTGGTTAGTGCTAATTGCAGTTAGAGTGAAGCTGTTTAAGCAGATAATGCAGAGGCCTGAAAAAGCATGGGTAAATTACCAGATGGACCTCTGACCACAGAAAATTTATGCTGGCGGAAGCTTCCTTTCTTTCCCTACATCCTTGGTCAGGATCCAATGGAGTGTGCCGAGCTAAATGCTGGCAGTCTAATGTGAGGTAGTTCTTAACTATAAAATGTCCTTTCTGTTGTAATTACTAGATTAGCCTTGACTAAATATATATCTTCTATGGGATTCATGTTGTCATTCCTTTTACTAAGTGTACCAAAGAAGAAAAGAACCATGCCACTCACTTTCAGTCAGATCCCATCAGGGTAATTTAGACAGTATGAATTAGTAACTGTATTTTCTGTATTATCTAATCTTATTATGAATTGAACTACAGGCATTGACCATACTAGTTACAATGATTCGATATTAATCCATATCACTGCAGATTTCTGTTTCTCCTATCTATGTTCGGCTAAACCGGGAATGCCCATTACTCTCACGGAGCCTTAAAACAAATGAACTAATAATTGAAGGTTCAAATAGTTTTTCAGCCAGGTTTCTGCAGGAGCTGATGCTACCCTTGAACCAGGCCAGCAATGTGGAAGGATGGTACTGTAAGTTCCAGTTCACAGCATTAATAGTAAGTTCTAAAGTTTTAACCGTTAGGTATTAATATTTGAATAATAATCGTTCTTAGAAATACTGATCCAATGGACAATTTTAGTACTTAGTATTAAAGTTGTGAACTGGAACTTAAAGTGACATTTTTTCTTAACCCTAATCAATGGTTTAGAGTTATCTAATGCTTTGAATTCAAAGCATACTATCAAGTTTCTGTTTAGGCACATTTTCATTGCTAAGCTTGAGTTCACCTTCCCCACTCTGATTTCTCTTCATCACCCTCTCCTCTAACCAGTCGATAATGTCTGCAAACACGATGTCAATATTGTTTGTCGGTTCGCCAAATAGCAAACCATGCCACATTCCGGGGTACAGCTTGAAGGACTTATCTGGACTCTTCGATACCTCATAGAGTTGCCTGCTGGCAGATTTGTCAATCACCTTGTCATCTCCTCCATGGAGAAGTAAGAAGGGGATTACGACCTAAAATAGAAATTAGAAAATTTTCTCATTTCTGATAATGAAATATCAAAATAGTGCTTATTATTACTTTCCAAAAATTGGAAGTAAAAAAAATATGGCAGACCTCTTGAAGTCGGCCCTCAATATCTCCACTGATTCTGAGGAAGTTCATGGCCGGTTTTCAAGCGAGGGCGGCCTTTGTAGCAATACTTGTTTGCTTTAATCTGTCAACAAAAGAATCATATGTTTACCCGTATGTGTGTGTGTGTGTATGTATACCTCGGCGCGTACTTTGGGGTCTTTAAAAGCAATATCAGTGAGATCTTGGCTAATGATGGATTTCCATGTTGGGATGACTTTGCAAAGTGCTTGCAGAAAAGACATCATTACCGGAGGTGGTTTTATGTCATCTGCAATCTGTACGGTGACATTCTTCTCTTCTCAAAAGTCCATCGCAGTCTATCTCGTAATTGTCTACTGATTAATATATTAGTCTTTTTTTATCTTCATTTTTTTATTAATATTTAATAAATTGTACTTACCAAAATTATCATATCTTAATTTTTTCTAAATATTATATATATATATATATAAATATGTATGTGGTACTTATGGGTTGCTAATGCTATGGAGCACTCGCTACCCATTTATAGATGAGTAATGAGAGTTAATATATATCATAATATATATATATATATATTACTTACAATTAGCATAAAAATAATAAATTTTATAATGCATTTTTTGTACTGTAATATTAGGCCAAACAAGCTAAAACTTTCATTTCGGTAAAATAATGGGTGGTGATTAAGAAAATCCAAAGATCCTAAAAAGATGGAGCCTGAGCCTCTTTTTAGAATTTTAGAAACATGATTAATCCCCAAAGATAAATCATATACTTGTGATAAACAATTAATTATAAAAATAGTAATAAACAATTAATTAAATGAAAATTAACCTTGCACATGGGTGCGGCCAAGACTGCACCATCCCAATATCCAGGCATCTTTCTGTGTAGAAGAAGAGAAACAGCTCCACCCATTGACTCTCCTAGCAAGAATCTCATTTTTCCTCCGTTCTCTCCCTTTTCTAAATATTTAATAACGAAAACAATTAATTAATTAATTAATTAATTAAGAACAAGTAATTATGATTGGAAGAAAAATGAAACTTAAGCACTTACCGCATACCTGTCTGAAATGTTGAGAGCAGTCATTAACAACATCATCCAAGTTATTGATAAATGCAGCACGACCTTCTGATCTTCCATGCCCTTCATAATCTACTCCGTGAACTGCAAATCCTGAATCTACCAGCCTAGTCGCACAACCTGCATGTTTAAATTAAAACTCACTAGATTACAAAACTAAATTAATTAACTATGACATACGTATGGGTTGAATTATATATGTATAGAGAGACGTACTCTTCATGGTGATGCTGCATTCCATGGCATAGCCGTGGCAAAAGAAAATCAAGGCTTTTGGTTCTTGATTCGTTGGAATCCATTTACATGTGAAGAGTTTCAGTCCTCTAGAATTCGTGAAATAATCCTGTGTTTCAGAACGAATTCAATGCTAAAAATTTGAAACAAAACTAGAAATGATCAATGAAGTATTAAACAAATAAAGCCTTACCTCATCATATTTAATATTGTCTGTTTCAAAAGCCTGTAAAAATTGAAAGCCAAAAACCAGAAACAAAGAGTAAAAAAGCCATGCATGGAGAGAGAGAAGAAGAAGAAGAAGAAGAGAGGAGATTGAAAGAACATTACCATGAAAAATGATGGAGATATGTTTTTTGAGGAGAAAAAAATTGTAGAAATGTAATATAAATATATATATATATATATATATATACAGTGTCGGAATTAACTTTTAATTACAACTGTACGTATATGTATGTATGTGTCCAAATGTTATTTAGAAGCGATTCTGTGAAGGGCCTAGAAAAAAATGGTATGGCTTGTCATATAATATACATATATATCCTAACGTCTCGTGTTATTACCATCTCTTAAGCATATTAAAATTAATAAATATGCAATATTATTATTTATATATAGAATTATATCTATTTATAATTACTAACACAAACACCGTAAGTATGATTTTTAATGAGTTGCATTTCGTAAGATAAAATTACAATAAAATAATATTTCAACACCCTTTTGGATGAACTAAAATCTTTAAACTGTATAATAAGAATATCTCTGTGCTAATTTATACAAATCTCAAGAATTAATTTACCAAATTTTTTTTTTTACAAATTATTAATCCACAAATTAATTTGTCCAAACAAGGTCAAGAGTAAATTGATTGAAGGCCCGAACTACTTCTGTTTGGACATGGAGAGATTTTCATTCCTGTACTTGTGCTCCCTCTCCAGCCTCGAATCCCCTAAAGAAACTCTTTCTTGTGTCCAATCTATGATGTCCTTAAACACCATGTCACAGTTCTCGACTGGCTCTCCATATAACAGTCCGTGCCACATTCCCGGATACAGCTTGAAGGTCTTGTCGGTACTCGAAGCCGATTCATAAAGTTGTTTGCTCACAGCTTTATCCGTCACCCGGTCATCTCCTCCGTGGAGAACTATAAATGGTATTATAACCTAAACAAGTTCGAAATCAAGATTAAGCGCAGAACAAGAGTAAACTTTCCAATTTTGTAAAATTCAATGTTGTCAGTAAACTCTTTGCATTTAGCTTTTTTTTCTGGAAGGGAAGAAGAATGTAAAAAGAGAAGACAAACCTCGTTAAGTCTTTGCTCGAGATCCAGACTGACTCTCAAAAGTTCAAAACCAGTTTTCAAGCGAGGACGTCCCTTGTAGCAGTACGGGTTCTCTCTTATCTACGATTTATATATTTCGATAACTATATGAATATATATATATATATGTATATATACTAATAAGAAGACGTTAAAAATATATAGAGAATTCGGGTGGTGTATAAGTAGTAAGTACCTGTTTTCTGACATCTGGCTCTTTAAAAGCAACATCAATAATATCTTGTCCAGGAATAATTTTCCATGTTGGTATAAACCGGCAAAGCTGGGTCAAAACATTTATCACAAGAGGACTTGGTCTAATCTCATCTGCAATCTGCAAGTACGTGAATTGTCAAATACATATATATATATATATATTGCATGGATTTTTTATATTATACATAACTCGTTTGAAGCTGAATTAAAAAAAGAAAAGTATTAATAATTCAAAAAAAAATTAAATTAAATTTCAGGATATACATATGTTATTGAAAGTTTTTTTTTTTTTTTAATTATTATATGGGTTTTATTTTTAGAAAAAAAAAAAAAAAGAAAAATGGATCAACATTGACCTGAAACATGTGGATGATCGTTAATTGGGGGAGTAAACGAAAAATGTTATACAATAATGGAGATTCCTTTATTAAAAACACTAACCTTACACATGGGTGCCACTAAAACGGCACCGTCCCAGTAGTCTGGCTTCTTCCTGGCCAACAACAGAGCCACTGCCCCTCCCATGGATTCCCCCATCACAAACCTCATCTTCTGTTTGTTCTCTTGCTTCTCTGCATAATTAATCATTTTTTAAGCTTTTATCTTGTAATTCTTTTGTTTAAAATTTTCAAAAAATAATTAAAAAGTTATATATAAATATATATATATATATATATATATAGAGAGAGAGAGAGAGAGAGAGAGAGATGGGTAATTTCTAATTAAAGAAGAAATTGAAAACTCACCACAAATAGTTGTAAAGTGATTAGAGCAACCATCAACAATATCATCAAATTTCTTAACGTAAGCATCAAGCCCCTCTGATTTTCCATGCCCCTCGTAATCAATCCCATAAACTGCAAAACCAGCTTTTGCTAGCCTAATTGCTGTGCCTGAAACCGTTTAACTATTATTATTAACTGTTAATTTTTGTAATTAAAACAAAAAACAAAAATTAGATTTACTGTTCATGGTGATGCTGCATTCCATTGCATATCCATGGAGTAGGAATATCAAGGCCTTCGGTTCTTGATCCGTAGGTATCCATTTACATGTAAACAGCTTTATCCCTCTCGAGTTCATTATATACTCCTGCATAGATTTAAATTTTCTTTTCTTTAAAAAAAAAAACAAAAACAAATGTTCGTAAAAAATTCAAAAGATATACATAACGCTAATTGTTTATTACCTCGTCGTATCTAATATTTCCCATCTCAAGAGCCTGTAAATTCATCAATAATTTTTAAAAAAAAAATTATTAGAAACAGAACTCCGAAACCAGATGAAAGAAAAAAGAAAGCCCACTCTGAAAATAGTAAGAAACCGAAAAACCCAGTTCTTAGAAAAAAGAAAAAGAAATTCCAGACGATGAAAAAGAAAAACAGAGACTCACCATTGGAGAGAAGGAAGAAACAGAGACTATGTTGCCGCGAATCCGATATGATATGAGAGAAGAAGAAGAGATATGAGCGAGCAATTGGTAGAGAGATTGTAGAGAAAATAATTTGGGAACTGAAAGCAGAGATTTCAATGGAGATTTAACTGAGTTGAATCGGAAAAGGTAAAAGAGGAAACCAGAGAACAGAGCAAGGAGGAAGAGTTTAGTTTCCGGATAAGTGCGGGTGCATGGAATTTTGGAGATAAACAGGAGAGCATCTGTATCTATACATATATATATATATATGTAGAGAGAGAGAGAGAGAGAGAGAAGTTGGTATTTTTAAATTCTAATTAAATAGTAAATTAGTTATACAAAAATTAATTTTTAATTTTTTATAACTACTTGCCCCATCAGATTTGCTCATTCGTGGGATACGCATGACCAATTTGAGCCATTAATTATTGGATTAATTTAATATATTTAGTTATTAAGCATGTTTAAAGCCTATTGTCTATAGAAAATTTCTATAATTTTTTAAAAATATTTTTATATTATATTATATGATATAAATATCCAAGAAAATGACAAAGAAGATGAGAGAATTTCATGCCGAAAATTCAAACATCTTTTTTTTTTTTTTAATTATTTTTTCTTTTTCCGACTTTGGTTTGTCATGCTTTAAATCATAGGTGTACAAAATTATTATTATTATTATTTTTGTATATTTTCCCCATTTTATATAAAAATGAGTTTATCAACTATATCCAAATTTGGAAAGAAATTTATTTTATTTTTATTTTTTATTTATGGTTCAAATTTATATTCCCATATGAAACAACTAATTATGTAATTAAAGTCTAATTATGTGAAGATTGACTTAATACGCCCGTTACCGTATAAAATTAAAAATCAAAATCGCATTTAGTTTGGTCAACGGATGAGATGTTTGACCAAAACGCAAGTGGGCTGCACATTATCCTCAGGGCTGCCGTGATTTTTGCTACAATTACGAATATATATTTATTAATAGATAATAATATGTTGCTTCTTGCCATTAAATTATTAAATGGTTAATAATCATATACTTAAAGCGTATATTATTTTTACAAGATTATTATTAATACAATAAATCATAATATATTTGAATAATTTTTTAAGTGCAAAAAAAAAGATCGAGATAAGATTATATGCAATACTTTAATGATTTGCCGGATTTCAATATATTTGTAAACCCTTTCTTCCACGTTAAATATATTTTAGGTACAATTCATCATTTAATTCTAATTTTTAAAAAAAAAAAATATATATGCATATATTCGATAATTAAATTAAATTAAATGATGTATAAACACAAATCATAATATTATATAAATAATATTTAAATAAGAAATAAGAATACAATTCAAATTAAACTAACAATTTCTTATAGAAGAAGAATTTTATGAAAATTACATTTAAATTATCTAATTTTAGTAAAAAATTATTTTTTAAAATATAAAAAATAATGCAATTAAACTACTAACCTAATTAATTTTGTTTTTTTTAGTACGAGTGGATAATTGATATGACATTTAACTTAAATTATTAGTAATAATTAATTCTTAACTTGTTTTAAGATATTACGTTAAAAATTTTACTTTGAATAGGATGAAATTTTATTGATAAAGCATGTATCAATTTATACTTTATTACTTTATGTGCTAATATATTTTGGATAAATTTTCATTTATAATATTTTTTATTTATTTTGAATATTTAATTTTTTTATTCTTTAATATAAAAAATTAAATTAATTAATTTTTGTTTGAATAGTTTGAGAGAAGAATTTTTAATTTAATAAATTAATGAAATTTATTACTCAAAGGGTCGTGGTACTTAATTTTGTAAAGTTAAAAAGAATAATAATACACGGGATAATATTAAATTTTGAAACGAAGTGGGTCCCACATGCTTTTGACTGGGACCTACTTAAACAACGGTGATGACGACGTGGAGTGAGTCATGAAACGGTGGTGTTTTTCCAAATTTGAAGTCACCAGTTTTGACCAACCAAAACCCTTTACACACTGGAACTCACTTCTATTTAAAAATAAATAAATAAATAAATAAAGAATATTTTAAATTTTCATATTTATGTTGAATTATATTTAGAATATATAGTGAAAGAAAAATATATGTATTTTAGTTTCAAATTCTCATATATTAAGACAAAATTTAAGAGCTTTGTCTAATGTCGTACCTCTTAATCTATTAATTTAGCATTATACAAACACTCCAAAATAGAGAGTGACAATATTCATGCATGTTAATATGTGTGTGTATATATATATATATATATATATATATATGCGTGCCATGGAAATCCCAAATTACCCATCTTTTGATTTTGTAATAAATTTAGAAAATGTTATGTAGAAGAATCAAAAGTAAATAATATAATATAATATAATAAAATATAATTAATAGATGAAGGAATATAAATAAAATTTGATAATTATAAAATGTTGTCTTTTTGTTATTTGATTGGAGTTATAGTGGTAAGGTATGTGATGAATTATTTAGGGCCTGCAATGAATGTTGGATAATGTTAGTTGTTTATTTGGCTTTATCTGCAAACAAATTTTTATGTTAATTTGAGAAATAAATTTTACAAATATATATATATATATATATAGAGTCAATTAATAATATTTTACTCTCATAAATATGAAAATTAATAAACTTGTACATTTTTTGGTCAAATGTGGATGGCACAATTGAAAGCAACAAAATAAATCCACTTTAATGTCCTTACTGTTGATCATAACCATTTGGTGGTGATTTGCCAAATAAGACCCAATCAAATTGTTTTGCATTACGTGATTCAATTTGGAAATTACAATTTTTTTACTAATGTAAAAATTATATAAATCAAAACAATGAAATTGAAGTTTAGTAACTAAAATATCTATTGATAATTAAGTACAAAGTTTAATCTTTTTTTTTTTAAAGAAAGCTACAAAAAATAACTAAGAGCTGAAACAAAAATAAATAAACAGATATCTTTATACATATACATAGTAAATTAACATAGATTTAAAATTTGATTTTTGGAATAAGATCGGAGTCATCGTACTTGAAAATTTTTGAACCTTAACATAGCTAATTACTGAATTTTGACGTGATTAAAAAAAATTTATATATAAAAAAGAGGTATAAAAAATACCAAAGATTGAATTCACTAATGTTACAAATTCGAATGTCATTAAAGACATAAAGCTCGCTATGTTGTGAATATATTATTAGTTAATTTTGCAATAATGCTTAATTAAATAGAATTAAAGATTGAATTTACTAATCTTCTAAAAGATTTATTATATTTATAGATTAAAAAAATATATATATATTATGTAGCTATTATATTGTATTAATTGATTGAGTCAAAGTGTACTAAAAATTTAAAATAATTTTTTATTTAAAAAAAATCTAAATTATGGCATCATCCTGATCTATAATAAATAAAATTAAAAAAATGAAGTGAAGAATTTAAGTGATGTGAATTGTTGGCTAAATCTTATATGTAATAACTAAAAAAGGGAAAAAGAAAAAAAAAATCTTGTTTGAAGAAACGACGTCGTTTTGAATAGGGAAAAACAACGTCATTTTAGGAGGGGGTGAACGACGTCGTTTTGGGAAGGAGAAAACGATGTCGTTTTGGGTAAGCTGGTAGGATATGAATGGGGGTCGGGAAGGAAAGGGAAGAGAGGAAAAAAAAGCAAAGAGAAAAGCAGGGAAGGAAGAGAGCGGGAATGAGGAAGGAAGAGAGGGAAGAAGGTTCCAGAAGAGAGAGAGGGGAGTCGAAGCAGAGAGGAGCGAGAAGGGAGAGAGAAGAGAGCCGCGGACGACGAACAGTGCGATCGGCAAGAAGAAGGAAAGTGGAAATGGAAGGTACGATAAAAACTTTGGTTGTGTAGGTATTGGGTGAGTTGTGATGCTATTTGCAGGTTGCCAAGGCCAGGGAGTCTGTAGGTAGCTGGGCAGAGCTGAGAGGTGGAGTGTAGGACGGAATGGCAGAGACGTTCGCGGAGGAGGCCGTGAGAAGGAGAGGATGGCGTCGTTGGGGCGTACGAGAGATCTATGAGAGAGAGAGAAGGTTATGTGCGGTGAGTGTGAGCACCGAGGGAAGATCACTGAGAGGAAAAGGGAGTGAGCAGTTTGGCGTGTGTGGGGAAATCCGAGATGACGAAGGGAGTCGTGTGCAGGAGCGGGGGTGCGGAGAGAGTCGCGAGCGGAATGAGCAGGAGGAACGAATTCGGTGAGTGTCCGGTGAGAGGGGTGAGTGTGGGGAGTGTGACAGTGTGAGTTCAGACTGTGCGAGGGTGAGAGGGACGTGCATGGTGAGTGGGACGGTGTGAGTTCGGACTGTGAGAGGGAGGGGACTATGGAATAGAAATTGGCATGTATGAAAAATTTTGGGTGAGGGAAGAGGCTTATGGAACCTAGGGAGAGGTCGGTTTAGCGAGGGATAAGAACGTAGTTGCTGGAGATTGGGATGGCATAGGAGGGGACTATAGAGTATGGTTTAGGACGAGTGAGTATGGACACATTGGTAGGGGTATAATAGGAGTGTGGTGAGGGGAGATGGTTTGGTATAGTTACTATAAATTTAAAGGTTTGCGAGGGAACATCGCCGGCATGTGCAAGAAGTCTTGGTGTGCGTGTGGCCTAATAAGGTCGAGAGGTAATGGAGGGAGCATGAGTCGTCGATGTTGGTGACGTGCGAGAACGGATTGTGTGTGTGTATGGCCTGTTGGGGTCGAGGTGTGGACG